GCAAGAGTTGGTCCAACAGTGGTGAGGAACAAGAGGAGGAACCAAAGGACATGGGAGCACTGCCTGAGTCCTGGGGTCCTGATGTGGCTGGCCATTTCTCCTCATTCACTGCAATCATGTAATACTCCAACAGAGTGTCCAAAATGCTCTTATGATCCAAACCTTTGCACGACCCATCCTCGCGTGTCTCTCTCAAGAGGAAGAGCTCAATGTCGAAACCATTCAAGAACGTCTCTTCCTTGCACTGCTTGTAAGCCTTCTTCAATGGAGTGAGGATCCGATCCAAAATCATGGTCCACCATTCAAGATGATGTTTGTTGTTAACTGGATAGGCACCATGCAAACTCTCAAGAAAGGTGTAGAGAAGCTTTGGGTCATAGTCCCGTGTATCACAAAGGGCTTGGATTCTTGGGCGAAGCTGTTGAATTCCCAATGACATGTCCAATGCTGGACACTGCTGCAGAGTGAATGCATTGACTTCACTGATGATTTTGTGGGATTTTTCAGCAGTCAGAATGGACCATTGTTGAACGAGTTTGATCCAGGTAACAAGACTGTGATCACCGATGTCCTGGATTCCAGACACTGCTTCATGTAGCTCCGGGTCAATGCAGTCCAATAGGTGAGTGCGAAAGCTGTAGTCATTCTCATTGTCCCAGCTGTCATACTTGGCTGCCAGCTTGACTGTTGCTGCCTTCACATAGGTGAGGTTTCTGGAGAACATGTGAGGATGTTCCACAATATCCACCATCTTGCTGGGATCAGTTGGGTGTGGAATGAATTTGCATTGTTGCATTCCAAAGTTCATCAGAAACTCCAAAAGGTGCGCCTGCAAGGGCTGGAGGCTAGACCCCCTTTGTCCATTTGGGTTCAAACTTTGGAAACTCACTTGCTCTTTTCAAACCTTTGGTTCTATCCAGACTCCTATACTGCACAGAGTGGACTCTGAGGGTTAGAGCTATTCCAAGCCGGGACCAAGTCTTGCCTTAGGATACCACCGCATTGCTAATTGTTTTGGAGCTGCAACTTTACTATCTCACCCAATGATAGGTAGCAGTGATGGGGTAGATGAGTGTTGATTCACATCTCCCTTCAGCACCTTAGTCACTGATGCGGCAACCAAATCAGCAAGTTTGTAAGCCATTTCACCATCTGATGCATCGCTTGGGTGGGCCATCATTGTCAGTTGCTTCTTGAGCTGCTTCATCATCAGTTGATGTGATTCTTGCGAGCTCTTCTTGAGTCCTAGTTAAGTCCTCCTCAAGCTCTCTGATTCTGTCCATGAGATCCGCGTCTCCGGTACCAGTCCGCCCTCCTGCAGGGTCTTCCATGATCAACTCTGATCAGCTCCTGTGGGAGACTTCAACTCCAGTGGGAGTTCCAAAACACAAGTCCAAGGGGACTTCAAACACGGCTCCAAATGGGAGACCTTCGAACACAAGTCCAATGGGACAGTCAAATCAATGCTCCAATGGGAGTCTTCCACAAACTAGCTTCAATTGAACACAGATTTACCTGATGTCTCCTGAAGCTCCTTCCAAACAACACTTGGCAGACACCTCGGGCTCTTGAAGTACCTGACTGGTTGGATGGAGGGATTGTTGTGGCTTGGTAGGTTTATCAGAGGTAAGCGCAATGGTGGTTAGCCTGGTAGGTTGGGCTCAATAACCACTAAAAGGAAATCTGAAATCTGATGAAAAGGTAATTTGTCTTTTGTTGTTGTTTATTATTTATTGTTGTGCCAATTTCCTGAAATTGTGAGCTTGGAAATGAAGGACGTGTTGTGTGATTTCTGAAACTTGGACCTTGCAAGTCTTTGGGGTGAAACCTGGCATTGCTCCTTCTATTTGGGGAAGACGGTAGTGTTGTCACAGGATCCTCAGTCATTTGGGGATTCCATCAGTAGATATGACAGTCACTTTGGGGTGGCAGTCGCAAAGAACAATGGTGTCAAAGAACATTGGTGTCAAGGAACAAAGGTGTCAGAGAACATGTTCCATATGTTCCATGTGGAATCATGATCACTGTAACGCCGTTCTGTGTGGAACAATGATCACTGTCACGCTCAGACATTCTTCATGTCCCTTTGCCCAAAGTCTGTGTCCACTGAGACAGCCTCTGATGTACCATGCGACAACCTCAGATGTACCATGAGACACTCCAGTTTCCCACTCGACCCAGTAAGCACTTGCTGCACGTTCCTGCTTCCTCAATTACACCCTTGAATGAAGATTGGTACAACACATCATAGCCAGCCTTCTGCAGTCTATCCAGTACCTCATTGCTGTTGGCAATCGATCGCCGAGAATCCTGCCTATCCAGATAGGCAATAACTGGACCCTTCTTGCTGCTGCCATTTGTAGGACAGCCAGCTCTCTTGTCATTGTTAGGGGTGTAGTAGTTGAGAAAGCCTTCTGCCATGGGTTTGGCATGTTCTCTTGACACCATCGCTTGAGATCATGACAGGCCAGGCAGTGACATGGTTAGAGATTTAAAAAAGAGAGTGCTTCTAGGTAACAAGATCAAATCTCCCTTCTTACCATAGGTGCCTGTCTGGAAAACCATACTATCCCAAGGTGCCGTCACATGAACCTCAGGAGAGTCTTCATTGGTTCGATCCAATCGCACACCAAATGCATCTTGCATGGCCTTGTACATACCATGAACTGAGGCCATGTCATCAGTCCCATGGTCATACTGTTGAATGTACAGTACTGGTGTTTTGTTCTTGTTATGGTCCATCTGCCACCATGAGAAACATCGAACAAGCTGCTGGAAGTTGTGAGGGAACATCTGAAACAGGAAGATGTTTGACAATCGGCAAACTGCTTCAGTGGAATTGTGATTGGGAAAGAGAAGCCTGGCATCACTTTTGTTAAGAGCTCGTTGACCCTCTGGAAAGTATGGTCTACCAGGGCCAAGGAACATTTCCCAAGCGGGCAGGGTGCCATTGTAGCGAGTTTCTGCAACATAGGGGTTTTGCTCGGTGCCATTGATTGCTTCAGGTGGAATACTCATCTTTCCCCCTCTTTTCTCTTCTACAATTGTGCGAATACCAAACTTGTTGCTGTAATCGCTGTTGCTGTTTCTTGCTGCACAACAAGAGTGCCACCGCTCCACCATGACTGCCGTGACTTGCTCCACCGCCTCAACAGAGGCATTGAAATGCCTTGTGTTTCGCCTATAGGCATTCAGTGCTTGTCCTCCTTGATAAGCCAAGAAGTGATGCTTCCCCGACAAAGCAACCATTGAACCATACCAGTTGGGCGCATAATACTGTCTCGGAAAGAACTCCAACAAGGAACCACACCAAGGCACGAACAAGCTTGTAGTGAACTGTGTTCCATGTGGCCCCATGACAATGTCTGCCTCAGACATGAACTTGATCTGTTCTATCAATGACATGCCATGAAAGGATGATTGGTAGTGGACATCATGACCGGACTGACGCAGCTTATCAAGGACCTCAGGGCTGTTGGAGATAGACCTTTTGGAGTCCTTTCTGTCCAGGAAGGCAATGACTGGTTTGGTCTTCTTGCTGTTGCCATCAGCAGGACAGCCGGCTCTCTTGTCATTGTTGTGTGTGTAGTGGTTGAGCAAGCCTTCTACCAAAGTCTTGGCATGGTCTGGGGAGACCATGGCTAGTCAGAAAGGAACAACAGAAAGGAAAGAGTTGAGAAGTGGTACATTCATGAATGTGGAGTGTTCCATACCTCCACATGCACGAATCCTTCTAAAATCTTACCATAGGTTTTTGTCTGCTCATACATTTTGAGCCATGGTGCTTCAACATGCACCTCTGGAGAGTCAGTGTTGGCTCTCTTTTCAATATCCAAGCGAACTCCAAAGACCTCATGCATGGCCTTGTACATGTCATGAATCGACTCTGTTCTGCCGTTGCTGTGATTGTACTGTTGAATGTACAATATTGGTGCTTTGTTCTTGTTTTGATCAAGCTGCCACCACGAGAAACACCGGAGGAGCTGTTGAAAGTTGTAAGGGAATACATTGAAGTGTTGGATGTCCGACAATTGACAGACAGCTTCACGCGACTTCTGGTTGGGGAATACAAGCCTGGATTCATCTCCGCGTATACGATCCCGATGGTTTCGGAATTCAGGTCTGCCTGGACCAGTAAAGAGAGCCTGAATGGGCAAAGTGCCATTGTGGTAATGGGTTTCAGCCACAAAGGGTCTCTCTGCGGTGGCATTGAGTGCTGCTAGAGACATGTTTATCCATTCACTCGTCTGCTCTTCCTCGATAGTGTGGATGACAATTGTGTTTTGTTGATCTCGGCTTCCCGCTTCGTGTCTGGCAGCTCCAGGAGATGCTCCCACTGTCCGGCTTTCCTTCTTCTCCTCTTGCTCCCGTTGGTGGGCCAATATAGATGTCAAATTGGCAACAGCTTGTTCAAGTAGCTTCTTCTCTTGGTTGGACTTCAACAACTTGTTTTGAAGACTGTCCATGTCCAGCTGCTCCTGTCCTCCTACTAGGAAACGACCTTTTCTTCGTAAGTTCATCCATTCTGCTGAACGTTGATGAGACTCAATGAGCCCTTCCTCGATGTCCATGCGACGATAGATCCACCCCAAGGTACGATACTGGATAGCCAACATGAGAAGATGGCAACAAATACTAGCGAGACAGTTCCTCTGCCTCTGGAAGGCGGCATGGTGGCACTATTTTTGTTGTTGTGATACCGCTACTAGCTAGCTAATACGCGGCGTTTCTTTGGCTTTTAGAAGAGAAATGGGAAGTTTCTTTGGCTTTTGCATTTGCCAGCGAACAACATCGGATTGCAAAAAACGCACGATTGAAAAACCCATCCTGATTCACAGTTCTTTGACTCGGTGCATGCCAGTGTGCCAGTTCGATCAACAGAACCAATCACTCAGTGTATGGTAGGATTGAGGCCGTTGAAAGCTACACGTATCCACACGTGTGTCCTCTGTGCAGTCTTCCACCGAGCCTCGCGGTTTCCTGGGAGACAGTTTGGTTGGGTAGATCTGGTAATAATAGGGTTAAAGCTGTAATTTTCTCTGCATATTTGAATCAATATTTTATGTTACCGCAACTACCTGCATCCCAGAAGTGTCTTCCAGTGCATTCAATAATTGTTAATTTTGAACGGCGTGCGAACTACCCCGAAAATGTTGTATGACATAGGTGGCAGCAGCCAACCAGCTTCGAGTACATGGATAGAAACTGTGGTCGCGGAACGCAGCGGGGCCGTGGTACATGGTTCGATGTCGTTTTCGGATCTGCAACCAGCAGCTACTGGTCATACGAGTTTAGCAAAGAGTGACTGGATTAAGTAAATTTTACTGAAACAGGTCACCAACTGCCAAATCGCTAAAACACAGGCTTTCAGCCTCTGTGGTAACTTTTCGGTTTTGGCGTGACTCTTTCATTCTTCTGTGAGACTCATCTGTCTGGGCTAAATTATATGTACTTTGAAACTTTGGATTGTGCGGCAGGCGCCGTAGATTTGTTGCGTGTGTTGATTCTTGTTTCTGGTGATTCTCGAGAACGTCGAAGTATTTCAAGTCTTTCCTTATTGCAAAGTTGGCAGTGTCGGTCCGGAAGGTTTTGACACAGCTGATGGGGTTCCTTGCCATAGAACGCTCACTTCGACGCTGTTCCGCAGGAGCTCTTTGTTAACCGGTTTCATTCTTTTGAATTGGTCGGCGAAGTGTCTTGCGAATGAGTCCGATTTTTGGTCGTTGTCCATGAGGTTTATGACATCTTTGAAGTGTTCGTTGGTTCGAAGTTTGACATTACGTTGGTTGTGCCAATGTATTCCATGCCGCTGTTTGTGCATTTGATACAGTATAGTACCACCTTGTTTCTGCAGACGTTGCCGAATAGACATTCGCCATTCTTACCCTTCTTACGGAGTTGACAGTTGCATTATTCGTTGCGGAAGTCCCTCGAGACGATGTTCCTTGTAAGCTTCCTTGAGAGGTCTCCTTGGAACGTTTCTCGGAGATTGGTGAATCGGTGGTATGACATCATGTCCTATCCACCCTAGATTGTGAGCTTTCTTGAGATCGTTGATACTTTGTGAATGGGGGTGTCCACGCTGTGGAGTGCCCGATGCAAAAGAACAGTGATCTCTTCGGTCCCTCTCTCGTTGTTGGGCTTTCGTTAGGTACGGTGTCTTTGTTTTGTTGCCCGTTGGACATTGCGGTTGTTTTTCTTCTTTGGCGTTGGAATTTGGTAGGACACAAGGCCAGCTTTACGTATGTCCTCGAAGTGCTTGGGGTATATGGCATCGGGCTTTGGTTTGCATTTTCTTCATTTACTGTTGTTAATTTGGCAAGTCTCTGGTACACACCTAGTGGGATGTTTCTGAGGCATGCATTTGTGTGGGTGTTCCCTGTTTAGATATTTAGTTTTGGTTCGGTTTATGTACGCGGAAGTTCTTCTGTCTGACCAGAGAACAATTCTGGTTTTCATTATCTATGGAGAGTCTAATCCTGGTTGTCGAGACAGTATAAACTCTCTGGGTCGGAATGTATCTTCTCTCTTGTTCA